TTCCCAAAACAATAGAAAATATCTGATGGGGGGATACAACTGGAAGGCACTTCAGAGTATGTGTACTCAGGGCAGTGTTATTGAGAGTTGACCGTGATCACAATTATTTAGTAAAATAGGTGGATGAGAACAGATTGGGGTGCATTTGGAAAGCTTAACAATCAAAATCAACAGTACAATTTGCCTCAAGAATAACGTATTTTAATCCGCACATATTACCTGCTGTGATATTGATCAGAAACGTTCATGGTTGACTAAGAAAATGGAACAAAAGCTGAAATGTGCAAAGAAAAGCATTGAGGGACGCATGTTAGGAATTGCACTCACAGGCATAAATACAAATACATGGGTTGATAACATAATGGACTTGGGTAGGACGGTTTGCTGGAAGATATGATGGCTAGTGGTCAAGATTAATAATGGAGTGGCAGCCAAAGGTGAAAAACACACCGAGAGAACATCCACCACACAGATTGAGCGACAAAATCAACCTCTGCCAGTGGTAGATGGATTGTTACACCATAAGACCGTGGTGATGCCTTGGCTAAGCTTTTTTCCAGTAATGCAGAGATTATGGCTAATGTTGATGAAACTCATTTTAACCCATTCTATATGGGGCACTGGGAGCGGATCATATTATCTCTGGTTAGTTGTGCAAATTACTCTTATCCTCAGGGTAAGCACAAATAAACATCGATAATAGGATAAATTTGCTGCTGCTGAATGGATCACTTCTAAACTTTGCAAAGACTTAAATAATCAGGTGAATTTTGAACTTTCAGGAGACTGATTAAATACATAACTGGTGTTCGCTCAGATGGAATTGTGATTATAATGCATTACGAATGGGGCACGTGTATATGACCCCAGGTCTGCTCCCAGGTGTCTCTTTATCAGTGCAAAGGCTCTGTCTGGCAGTAGCATTAATTGTCCGTCACTTCCAAGTCACTTCTCTCATCTGTAGTAAAGCTGTGGAAAATCAGATGCATTAGCTTCCATTTCAAGGTCATTACTCTTATTTGCATAAAATAATTTGGATGAGAGGAAGACTCATTGTGGATTATGGTATTTTGTGAAGATTGATTTGGGTAGATGGATAATAATGAGCATGGGCTAATAAGTCTACATATAGGAACAGTTGCAGTATCCCACTATTCACATACATAAATGTGAACTAAAAAAATCAAAGTTAAAATAAATTCAGAACTCTGATAGAAAGCAGCGATTCACCCCATGATAGAGGATTTCCTAGACAAAGTACAAGTATTATGGGACTTCTGAGATGCCTTTCATTACCTTATGTCAAAACTAGATACACTTCCCTCAGCTTGCATACCTGGCTAGATAGGAGTTGGACACATTGCAGTCAAATATAGTCGTAAAAAATATTAATCATTGTGTGTGTGCAGTTATCAGTGACTTATGGCTGCTGAACTTAATAAAATGCATTGTACTCATGGGTGTTCGCTCAGATGGAATCCAACATGTCAGTGTTGCCGGTTCATTGCCATGGCACAATATTAACCCTCTCAGCCACCCATCCATCTTCACTCTTGGTATTCTGATTCCATATTCTCACAATCCTGAACCACATTTATCATTGCTGTCACCTGAAGCACTGATGATATATGTGGGTATAGAGAAGACACCATGCCTGATGGTCCCGTGTGGTGCAGCCATGTTCTGCCGATTCAACAAATTGATTTTGTGAATTGTATTTGTTCCTTTTTTATTTTAAAATATTTTTTTATTCATTGTTCTTTATTCAACGATATGAAATCTCATTGAAATCCAATGACTTATCAAATAGCAGTATTTTAGCAAAAGTTGGAAATTCCAAAAGCAGATGGCACATTTTAAAAAATATCTTAGCTCATGATTGCTGAAAAAATGCAAATGTAATAGGTAATGTCATTTTGAAATAATTTGAATCATGACCCATTCGTGTGGCGCAGGTTAAAACTTGTGGTCACTCGTGAATAGGGCATGTGCGTATTGTTGTAGTAAACATTGTTGAAATTGGATATCAACTATTTTAATACAATTTAAAACTGTTCTGGTTCACAAAAAACTCCCATCCTGAGACGTGTCATTGCAAACAAATATCTGCAGAGACATGCAAACTGCAAAGAAGTTGGCACGTTCTTTTACTAACGACAACCTACCCATAAAACAAGACATCAATAATGTACCTCCTTACTGACGCAAGTCCTGATCCCTCATCTGGATTCAAGCTGTCACTATCCTGGAATGTCACCCAGATTCAGAAGAACGCTGGCGAACAGTCGAACAACACAGATCCAAACATCGCACCTCCTGACTTTACATTTTTTTAAAGACACTTTGTAATCATTATCAACCGCATCTTAACATCAACAGGTCAGTGCGCACATCTCCTTTATAAATGGAACATTAAAGAAAAGTTACTGTGGCCTTGCAACCAAAACTATGGGTCATAAAGTAAAACACGGTAGTCTGCACTCATTCAATGGAATTTGAATAGCAAATCTACAGGAACAACCCTGAAGCCCCCTCGACGTGGCTAGCGACTTGACACGTGGCATTTAGCTCTTGAAACGAATTCTCAGCATACGCAAGAATTGAATAGAATTGCTAACGATGAAATCCTGAGCCCTGTATGGAACAACACTTCGCGGAGGAGATTAGAAACACAATATCCAGCTGTTGTGGTGATGGCTTCGGTTCTCAACAAATTTAAAAATAAACCCCCAACCAATGTGTGGTCCTTCCCGATGGCTTTCGAGAACGAACTCGCGATGCTGCTGGAGGCAGCGTGCGCGCTGCATGGTCACCATAGAAACGCCTTCACGTGAATCACTGCACGCTGCTATTTATAAACGCGATTCACGTAACGCTGATATTTTTTTGGTGGTGATGGTGGATATATTGAATATACAGGGGGCGGCAATTTGCCTTGTTCTTTCGGCGCGGCGGTGGAAATTGCGTGTGCCGTCGGAGGGTGTAGCCGCGGCACGTGGCTTCTCGTGGTGATTTAATTGAAGGTGGTGGTGGTGGAGGAAGAAGGGAGGGAGGGAGGTGGGTGGGTGGGTGGGAGGGAGGGGAGGTGGGTGGGTGGGGAGGGAGGTGGGTGGGTGGGTGGAGGGAGGGAGGGAGGTGGGGGTGGGTGGGAGGTAGGTGAGGGTGGGTGGGTGGGAGGGAGAGGATGGGTGGGGTGGGAGGGAGGTGGGAGGAGGTGAGGTGGGTGGGAGGGAGGTGAGGGGTGGGAGGGAGGTGAGGGGTGGGTGGGTGGGTGGGAGGGAGGTGAGGGGTGGGGGGAGGGGGGAGGGGTGGGGGGAGGGAGGGAGGGTGGGGGGGAGGGAGGTGAGGGAGGGGTGGGAGGGAGGTGAGGGGTGAGGGGAGGGAGGAGGGAGGGTGAGGGGGGGAGGTGAGGGGGGGGGAGGGAGGGAGGGAGGGGTGGGAGGGGGGTGAGGGGGTGGGTGGGAGGGAGGGGGGTGGGTGGAGGGGGGAGGGGTGGTGGGAGGGGGGGGTGGGTGGGAGGGAGGGAGGGTGGGTGGGAGGGTGGGAGGGGTGGGTGGGGGGGTGAGGGGTGGGGGGGGGAGGGAGGGAGGGGGGGAGGAGGGAGGGGGGGAGGGGGGAGGGAGGGAGGTGAGGGGGAGTGGGAGGGAGGGAGGGGGGTGGGAGGGGGGAGGGAGGGTGGGAGGGAGGTGAGGGGGGGGAGGGAGGGAGGGAGGGGGGGGGGGAGGGAGGTGAGGGGTGGGTGGGAGGGAGGGTGGGGGGGTGGGAGGGGATGAGGGAGGGGGGGAGGGAGGTGAGGGGGGTGGGTGGGAGGGAGGTGAGGGAGGGGAGGAGGGAGGGAAGGGTGGGGAGTGGGAGGGAGGGGGGGGGGTGGGTGGGAGGGAGGTGAGGGGGTGGGGGGAGGGAGGTGGGGTGGGTGGGTGGGAGGGAGGGGAGGGAGGGGGGGAGGGAGGTGAGGGGTGGGAGGGTGGGAGGGGGTGAGGGGGGGGTGGGAGGGAGGTGAGGGGTGGGGGGGAGGTGAGGGGTGGTGGGAGGGAGGTGAGGGGTGGGGGGAGGGAGGGGTGGGGGGGGTGGGAGGGAGGGAGGGAGGGGTGGGAGGGGGGGGGGGTGGGAGGGTGGGAGGGAGGGGGGGGGAGGGAGGGAGGGGGGGTGGGAGGGAGGTGAGGGGGGGTGGGAGGGAGGGAGGGAGGGGGGAGGGAGGGGGGGAGGGAGGGTGGGAGGGGGGAGGGAGGGGGGGGGGAGGGAGGGGAGGGGTGGGGGGAGGGAGGTGAGGTGGGGGGGGGGGGGGAGGAGGGGGGGTGGGAGGGGGGAGGGGGGGGTGGGAGGGTGGGAGGGAGGGTGGGTGGGAGGGAGGGGAGGGGTGGGTGGGAGGGAGGGAGGGGGGGGGTGGGAGGGAGGGAGGGGGGGTGGGTGGGAGGGAGGTGAGGTGGGGTGGGTGGGAGGGAGGGAGGGGGGGTGAGAGGGAGGGAGGGGTGGGAGGGAGGGAGGGAGGGGGGGGGTGGGAGGGAGGGAGGGTGGGGGGGGGAGGGAGGTGAGGGTGGGTGGGGGGAGGGAGGTGAGGGGTGGGGGGAGGGAGGTGAGGGGTGGGTGGGAGGGAGGTGAGGGGGGGTGGGAGGGAGGGAGGGAGGTGTGGGGGAGGGAGGTGAGGGGGGGAGGGAGGTGAGGGGTGGGTGGGAGGGAGGGGGGGGAGGGGGAGGGAGGTGAGGGGTGGGTGGGAGGGAGGTGAGGGGTGGGTGGGAGGGAGGGGTGGGTGGGAGGGAGGGTGGGGTGGGTGGGAGGGAGGTGAGGGAGGGGGGGGAGAGGGTGGAGGGTGGGACCCACACGGGAGTGGGTGGGGGGGGGAGGTGAGGGTGGAGGTGAGGGGTGGGTAGGTGAGGGAGGTGAGGTGGGTGGGAAGGGAGGTGAAGGGGTGGGTGGGGTAGGGGGGAGGGAGGGGAGGGGTGTTAGGGAGGGAGGGGAGGGGAAGGGGGTTACCGTCCCAACTGCGCGAGGAGTCGCCGCCGCTGATGCGAGAGACGCAGCAGCATCATCATCAGCAGCAGCAGCATCATCATCAGCAGCATCAGCATCAGCAGCAGGCGGCGCGTCACTGCAAGATGGCTGCTGAGGGAAACCGCCGCTAGCCACGCGAAGCTGCAGCGCTCGCGATAAACAAACACATCGTGTACATTAAAAACAACAAGGGGTGGAAGCTTCTGCGGCGTCGTCTTTCGTTCATTCGTCGTGGTTTTACTGCTAATTTGTGTGGGTTTTTTTTGGCCACTCGAGCGGTCCGTTTTCTTGCGGTGGAAACGTGAATCAGAATGACTAAGGGAGTGGTAAGTTGTGATTTTTAAATCGGTCTTCTTACCTCGGGGATTTTTTCACCTCGTCGCGTTATTGAGCTGATTGTATGCAGCTATTACATTGTTTAATGACGTCTGTTACGTTGACAAAACGACTCTTGCGTCGTTTTTAATTGTGAAATATGTATTTAATACAGCCTACAAACCAACAAAAACGATTTGTAATTTGAGGAGGCTCATGACACCATCCATATCTCTCTCTATTCACGAAATGTCATCGCGTTTGTCGTACCTTATCCCAAATGTAAAATCAAATAAACACACGGTGATATTGCATGCATGCTTAAAAAATACATAAAATCATCTTCCTTACATTTGTAAGACAATCTAACAAAATGGTATCTATCATATGCACCGTTATCTTATTATAATGCAACAATTGCCCACGCGGGCTTTGGGTCGTGGTCGGTAAAAATCGAAAAAAATCGCGCGCCACGTTCACATTTTCATCTTTTTTATTCCATTTGTCAGCTGGCTCAGAACAACAAAGTCCAGGACGTCTTCCTACAGCCACAACAACAGCAGCAGGAGGTTGTTGCAATGGCAATGCCCTCGGCACCACCCAGCTACGCCGAGGCCACGTCTGGCAAGGAAGGTGGCGCGTATCCACCGGCCGTGATGCCTCCTCCTCCACCCCAGCTCGGTTGGGCCTACACCACCAACAACACCACCACCAACACCACCACCAACACCACCACCAACAACACCACCACCAACAACACCGCCGGCCCCGGTGAGTTGGGGTTGGTGTGTTTAGTCGAACCGCTTCTACCCCTCCCCCAATCATCCCACCCCTCCCTTCTTCATTTGTTCATCTTTTAGAATCTCGACCCGTAACATTTTGGGTCGCTTTGGACGAAACATTTGTTTTTTTATGGCACGAATATCTCCGTGCTAATAATGTGGCGTTTCCACTTCTCTGGTGTTTCCACTTTCTCTTTTTCCATCGCTGCGTCTTTCAGCTGAGACCGCTTGCATCCTGCCCAACGTTTAATATTCGACATGCATATTCTTGGTTCTTTCGGTAAAGTCACGTTTTCCTTCTAGAAGGGAAACAATATTGTTTCCCTTCTACGTGACTTCTACGTGACTTTACCGAAAGAACCAAGAATATGAATCCCTGCAGTCACGAAAGCTTTAAATAAAAATTCGACATGCAGTTAGGATTATGGGTTTCCTACTCTTCCCCAAGCACATTCAAGTATTCCCTCCATCACATTCCTTTGCAACCGGTCATCATTCTTCTTTGTCACGTGTTTAAACGTTTCTTCATTTGCCCACCGTAAGAATTGCAGTGATTGCAGTGAACGTCACCTGGTGGGGAGCGTTCAGTTAATGGTCATGAACAACAGCGGCAAGAGTGGTATATGAGCATGTCTTGGGGTCTTTGTCGGATCAGCCATAAATGAGTTTCGTTGGGCACAGTGTGTAAATGACAGCACCTGTCAGATGTGGATATGGCAGCGTTGTCAGGAACACCAGCTTCTGTGATTTGCCGGTCTTAATTGGTACTTGTCCTACAGTCTATAATGTCAAACGGGTGACGTCTTTTTTTAACGTTTTTTGTGCGGGATTGAGATTGTGTATTCATTGTTTATATTGGTACACAGAGGTGTAATCGTCAGATTTTAAATAGCGTTTTCTATTTCAACCCAAATTGTTTAAAACATGAGCGTCATAAACCTGATCCTTGGCACATTGTAATGCTTAACCTTAACGTACGATAAACACCGTGTAAATTAAAGTATATTGATCTAAACTCTTACAGGCTAACTGCTTTGTTTGAAAATGAAAAAATTATAGGTAATGCCTTGCTGGAAATCCCATTTGAGCTTTGTAATGCAGTTGTGATTCAATGGGAATAGACTGACTGATGAATAGAGTGCATACAAGATTTAATCTTTATTGTCATAAGTTAATTTTGAGCCATTTTGCAATGTTGATCAATGTGAAAAACATTCTAGAATAATATTTGTCTGTACAGTCCCTTGTATTACAAAACCACAGCAGTTGTCATTTGGCTTCCTAATTGAGTAATTTGTGAATCTGATTAACAATTTTATTCTTGGTTAATGTGTTGCTATTCCTATGTATCCAGCCTTGGGAGAGGAATTTGGGCCGCAGCTCATTAGTGCACCCACCCCATGTGGGGCAAGTTGCCTTGGAGATATTTTTATACGCTTCAGCCATTTGTTGACTGCAGCATAAGATATACATTTGATTTTGTATGCTGTCTGCATGCCTCACTGACATGTCACACCAATATTGTATTATGTCAACTACATTTGTCAATTAAATTCACTTTGAATACTGATATTCAAACAGTTAATTTGCTTTAAAATTACTGTACGCTATATTTCAGTTGTATAGAGATCAAAACGAGGTCATGAGTCTTTTTTTAAACGTCATCATTTTACACGTAGGCTTTTGCGATCAGTATTATGATTAATAGTTGATATTTGGGTAAAATCTTATAAGTTAAACGTCTATTGTACACACTGGTGGAGCCAGTGGGGGGGGTGGGGTGGCACGTGCCCCCTCAATGATCCTTGGGGTTTATTAGTAATAAATCGGCATTTTGTGACCCCCACTGCCACTGTGTAGCATATTATTAAGTGCCAGGGACTCTATGCGATGATAGGACAATAGTCAGAGTCCATAATTGGCAATAAGTAACGACAAAGCAGTTATAAGTGACTCAGAATTGTGCGCAGTTGCGTATACAGTCCATGACTTCCCTGATGCCGATCACATACGGTTCGAATTCGACCCTCGATCGATGGCTGCGCCATCGCCACGCACGCGTCGAATAAAAAGCAAGGGACAAGTCCTTACTTACTAACAACTCCTCTATCATGTTTCATTGCTGGAGGGGTCCCCCCCCCTACCTGAAAATCCTGGCTCCGCCATTGATTGTACACCCTCCTCCACCCGACACTGATATTTTGGAGACCAATCCACAACATTGGTAAATGTTGTGGATTGCTCTCCAATGTTCTGTATTGCCGAAGCAGCAATAAATTGGTACCCTAGTTCACGTGACAAGTTTATTAATATTTTACTTAAGTGATATGGCCTAAAAATCAATTATGAATGCATCACCATGTTGTAGCCAGTATGGTGTAATGTTAGCACACAGTATATCTTGAATAATGATCTGTTAGTGTTATATCTATATGAAATGCAACTCTTCTTTGTTGTGATGGAGAGTAGCTCCAAGCTATGGACAGGCCTACACAAGCCCCTCGTACACCCCGTACACGGACACGAGCAGCAACATCGGTGACAGCTTTTCCTCTAACACATGGGAGGACAAAAACCTGCGACGGGTCTTCATTAGAAAGGTGCGTGAAGCAGCGAGGGAGGCTGCCTATTTGATTGTCTGTATTTAAAATAACACGTCAGGGATAACCAGAATTATCTAAATTTGTCTGGAAATTGAGCAATTGCAACAATAATTTTAGTGGCACAGAAAGTTTATTCATAATAATATGGATTTAAATTCTATATTATACAATGCAATGTTTTAAGCAAATAGAGAATGTTTTCTCGGGATGCTTCATTAAATAGCTAATCTGCTAAGAACCACTTCATTTTCATTAATGATCATAATTTCATTTTTGCCCATGGTGGCCATGGCCTTCGAGCAGATTATTGTTGATACGGAGTTCTCGTGAGGTCTCTGAAGGTAAGCAGGGCAGACCCTGGATAGTGCTTGGATGAGAAACCACCAGTGCATAAACCAGATATAATGGGTTATTGTGGGGTTACATTGTCAGCAGAGGATAGTGTATCTAAAATCAGCATAGTATAGTATGCTAAAATAATCCCCCTGTACAGCATAGGGATTGACAAAAGGGTTGTAGATGTACATTGAGTCCAACTTTACAGCCGTTTATAAATGTGTTCCCTCATGAAGACTACACACATTTGAGCGTGGACTGAAATTGTCGTGCATACACATTGCTTGCTTTCTCTCTCTTGCCAGGTGTATGCAATCCTCATGCTGCAGCTGCTGGTGACGTTTGGGATTGTAGCCATTTTCACGCTTTGGTAAGAATTTATCTTAGAAAGGACATGTGCCTTAGTGCTACACACATAATGCATTATACGTGTAGTGTTTGGTAATGGAATTTTTTTGCCAAGATTACAGTTGAATAATTAATAAGATTTTAACTGAATGCATTCACAGTGAACCAGTGGGCTATTACGTGAAGAGGAATCCTATTTTGTACTGGTCGTCATAGTGAGTATATATTGCCCCTGCACTGACTCAAGCCGCAACATTTGCATTGTGGTATTTCCCCATCTGTTATTCATCATCAACAATCGTCAACCATTGTCAATTCACTGCTGGATGAAGGCCTCTGCAATTCTCAATTATCTCCCATCATCCAGTGATGTAACACTCCACCCAGCACCTGTATCCGAGTTCATTGCATCGTTCCATCTCCTCAGTGACGTGCTCTCGAACTCGTTACATTTCTTGGCTGCCACAGCTTCACTATTCTTGACCATTGGCCATCGTCCCTTCTAGTGGCACATCCTGCCAAAACCGACTCCCTTAACTGTTTGAATTATGTCTTTAATCTGTGCATGTTCTCCAATGCATATGTACCACTTCATGTCTCTTAAAGTACTGTAATTCAAAGCGTGCGTTTCCCCGTGCATCATTGCGCATTTGCTTCCACTGTATTGAAGCTAATCGTACAGCAATTTCAGCACCGTTTTAATTGAATTTTTTTACCAAGCTTAAAGAAACTCGTGGTTATAATTCTGCAGATTCAACATTACGTGCACATTGTGTGTTGTGTTTTGTGCAGTGCGGTGTTCCTGGTTACCTACTTGGTGTTGGCATGCTGCAAGGAGCCTCGGTAAGTGCCATGCTGCCACAATTAAGCATTCGCTTTTTTGTTGAGAGTGGATTTGTATTACTATAATCTCCGGATTATAAGATGCACTTTTTCTCCTGTATTTTATAGCAAAAGTTGGGGGTTACATCTTATAATCCAGTATGTGGTCTTTATTGCCACTGCGGCTGCCTTGACATGTGTGACAATATTGAAATCACTTTACTGGCACTGGTGGGCACAGTCAACAACTTGATTTTCACCACATAGCCACTTCTACTTTTACCGGATTCTCGGCATTAGTTAAGTGGAGTTGAATGGAATTTATTTTTACAGCACTTAATTTATATTTTCAGTGACAGCACATACACGTGAACAATGTAATGTAAGATAATTTTACCACAAGGTGCACTTTTGCACAAATGTCTACAGATGAAATGTGTTTTCTTTTTCAGTCGCCGTTTCCCATTGAACATCATTCTCCTGTCTATCTTTGTAAGTACTTGTTTGTAAAACGATTTAATAGTGTAGATGTCCTGTCTTTCAGTAATTTTTGCATTTCATGTGCCTCACAACTGCATGTTAGAATTCTTCACGTAAGTTTAGTAATAACTTAACCTGATGCAATTTAAACTTTCATCCTTATTTGTTTACAGACATTGGCTATGTCATATATGACAGGAACGCTAGCAAGGTAAGTTTTTAAGTTATCCACCTGCATTTAACAATAATTCAGAGTACAGTTACTTTACTGATGAACTTTTCCTTTTCATATTTCTGTGATGCTTGTCAGAGATGGTGTGACAGAAATTATCAGCAATATCTCAAACGTAATTACCATTATTTGTTTATTTGACTGAGTCGGGATAACCTAGTTAAAATAATGTATAGATGGTGTGTTATTACTGAAGGAACCAAGAATAAGTCTACATTATAGACTGCCAGTACGCTCATTCAGGTTAAGAACCAGGCTACAGTCTACATTATAGACTACCAGTACGCTCACCAAGGTTAAGAACCAGGCTACAGCCGACATTATAGACTGCCAGTACACTCATCCAGCTTAATAACCATTGCTACAGTCTACCTTAGTGCTTATTATTATTATTTTATTATTATTTTTCTTCTATCTAATTAAAAGAACCAAAGAATATGTAAACAACTCTTCCAAATATATTCAGTATCTAGATATCCACAAGCTGTGTGACCATGTTTGACTTGCAACCACAAACATTGTATTGCCGAGTTAAACGAGCATCAATTTGTCAGTGTTTTTAGTATTTTCAGTAATTTACCATTTTGATTACGCATTATTATTCTGTGATTTTTTTTTTTACAGTGTGGAAATTTTTGAATTACTTTATCTGATGCTACTACCTCTGCCGATGTCTCTCGGATGCCTGTGAAAACGAGGTGTTTCATTTGAAAATACTTTTCCTGGTTCAATATTTTCAACTAGCCTTTTGCCCGTCCAAGGACGGGGGTGTAAATCTGAAACTTGCAAGCGAAAAGCAGGCCGCAACGTGATGTTCATTGCATCAATGCGTGTGCCATTTGTAAGTGCGCGGTGACACGGACCTATTTCATTTTAAGGTTATAATCCCTTGTTCATCATGACGTCCTTTTTACTTTGATGTCTCAACAGCGTTACGGAGATCGCGTGACGTGAGGGTTCTGCCTTTGTAGTGAGGGTTGTAAGTTGACGCCGAGGAGGGGGGAGGAGGCGCCTCGGCCCCCCATGTGGAGTGACGTCACCCGCTAATTATTATCAATGGGGGGGTGTCCATTTGGAGGACGTCACCTTATAATGATTATTAATGAGGGGGGCTGTTCGATGTGGAGTGACGTCACCTGCTCATGATTATTAATGAGGGGGGGTGCTTCACGTGGAGTGATGTCACCCGCTCATGATTATTAATGAGGAGGGGTGGGGGGGGGTGTCCATTTGGAGGATGTCACCTGCTCATGAATATTAATGAGGGGGGCTGGTCGATGTGGAGTGACGTCACGAGCGTTAAGGACAGACATTCCTGGGTGATTATAGTAGGTATAATGAAATGCATTTTTTTCTTTTCTTCTGACAGCTTCTATAGCACACGGTCGGTGATGCTGTGCTTTGGAATTACTGCCCTCGTCTGCTTCTCAGTGACTATCTTTTGCTTCCAAACAAAGGTAACAGAAATTTAGTTTTTCATCTTTGGAGTTCTAGTCACTTGTAATAACAAAAATGTAAGAAATGGAAATTTAGAAATTCCAGTGTGTAACCTATTGGTCCTGCAAGCCCATGTTAACTCCTGTTTCCCCTCTGCAGAAATATCGTAGTACTGTGTCGGTATATGAAACATTATGAAAAGTGTCACTATACATATTTGGTTTTGAAGTGCCCTTATGGCACATCGTTGTACATTGGCCCATTTTTAGACCACTGGTATTGTGTATAAATAGAGTATGTTATTAAGATCGAAAAAAAGAAAATGTTTAATGTAAAAAACGTGTTTCAAGTCCATATGGAATTATTGCAACACCCTGTATTTGTCACTTTTATGTATTTTAAGTACAAATTAACCAAGCACCATACTGTACTTCATAGAAATCCACACCTGTAAAGCGAGACTGTATAAGGCACACATTATAATACAGCAACTCCATTCATTGGGACTACCGCCGCTCAATACGGACTGTATGTATATTTGATTTCATTATTAAACGGCTGTTTAAATCTGTGTTGCAGTTTGACTTCACAACCTGCCATGGGCTGTTGTTTGTGCTGCTGATGGCACTTGTTCTCACTGGACTGGTGGCTGCGATTGCTGTGCCTTTTGGATATGTGAGTCTTTACATGTTCATTACTCTCACATCTGGGTTCACACAATCTCTCTCGAAGTGTCGATCGAACCACCTTCCCCATGTGTCACCTTGTAACATTATCAGGTCTAATGCCGTGTGTTTATCTGTTGATAGATGCCTTGGCTGCATGTGCTTTATGGAGGCCTCGGAGCGGTTGTCTTCACACTGGTATGTTAAGGCAGCCCCATTCATCACCATGGGGTGTTCAAATATATATTTATGCTTATTTTGCACTGGCATTTGACAAAAAATAGGTGAAGGATTTGTGTTAGTTTTGTCTTGTACTTGTTAATATTGAGTTCATTACTGTGCGAGCATGTATGGCTCGTGGTGCGTGAGGCCAGCAGCAACAAAAACAAAAAACAAAACGTCAATGTTGCACAAAAAACTAGGCATTTAAATGGTTGTAAATGAAACACAGGAGAATCAAAAAACAGTGGAAATATAACATGAGACAAGAGGTGGTATGAAGAAGGACCATTGCCAAAATAGTCACCTTATATATTGTTCCTGTTAAGGCAGTGTGATTGACAAATGTGAGTTTTGTTGTTGTTTATGCTTGTGCACCACTGTTAATGCAGTATCGCTTTAATAATTTGTTTCATGCTTGTGTGAAGCTGTTTGCTATCATGGAATCTGCGTCTGCTTCGTTTGTGCCGCTGCGTTGCAGTTCTTGGCGTATGATACGCAGCTGCTGATTGGAAACCGCCGTTACGCCATCAGCCCGGAGGAGCACATCTTTGCCTCCCTTAACCTCTACATGGACCTTGTCTACATATTCATGTTCCTCCTGCAGATCTTTGGCAGTCGCGAGTAGGGATGATTGTGTGCCAGCCTGCTCAGAGAGCCATCCCACATGCTCTTCAATGATTGGTCAGGACCTAGGTACACTCCGTAGTAAACGACCTCTAATTGTCAAATTTCTTCGTGTAGAATACTTTACGTTAGGTTACTCCTCCGGTGGAGTTCTGTGACATTTGTTTTGCAGATGGATAATTTACGTAATTTTTGCGCAGTGCCTGAGCATTGAAAACACCTACATGCCCTTGATATTGTTCAGGATTATAAATTTTAAACGTGCAGTAATAATACGAATCAACATCTGTCAGAAATGTATGCTTAAGAATCGTGCGTTCCTTGACTAAGACAAGAGAAAAGATTTTGAGTTGAAAGTATTCGTTAATAAATAATGATTCCTATAAATATAAAAAATAACTAAAATATTAGGCCTACAGAATGTTTTAAATGTATTCTATTTAGTATAGGTTGTGAAAAGTGTTTCAGATGAGCTTCATAATAGTATTTCACTCAATAGTCATTGCTCATTCAGTGGTTCCCTTCGGTGTTAAACTATGTTTCTGCTCTGCTTTTTAAATGATGTTAATGACATGATGCTTAAAGCATAATTTCCCACTTAAGTTATTTTTATTTTTGTGCATATATATTTCACTCCTTTAAATAAATGTTGCATGGGGGTGTAAGTCCTGTAGTGTATATTGTACATTGTGGGTGGTGGTCATTTATATTTAAACGGTCCTATAAGTGATACCAACGTATGCCAAACTCAATGAAATAATTAAACTTCCATGCAAAATTAACTACTAATGTATTGTCTAATGGTTAGCACCAAAAATATGAAGTATTGTACGTGCAAAAACGATAACGTTTCTCGATATTCACAGTGATGAGAGCTTTTGGCTTCAGCCGATAAATATTTTTGAACATTAATGTTAAAGGCTTTGTATACCACTTGGACATTGGTTGCTTCCAATTGTCAACTATCGTGATAAACCATTCGGTGAAGTAGCAAAATTTCTTAAAATGCGTTTTTTTCAAGGATACAACACCGTGTTCTCTGAATTATAAGACGCACTTTTGTTGTATTTTAAAGCAAAATGTAGGTGTGCGTCTTAATAATCTGGGAGGTGTGTGTGACCATCTTTGTATTTATTAATATCAGGCACATGTTTGCGGTGTCTTAACTTACCAGAGCGTCTTATAATCCAGAAAAAACATTGTGATTCTTTAAAGCCATTGTTAAAAGTATCACTTATTGTATCTATCTTAGAACTGTAATTATACCGTTGTATAAGTAACAAGTGTGTAGTGTAGATATGTAAAGGAGATGGGAGGGAACCATAAAACGTCACATTTTTATCGAATATTTCTTTTAATTTGGAGTAAAGTTTGTAGATTGTGGAGATATTTTAAAACCTAAAGAAATTAAATAGGCTATCTTTATTTAACCATCACTTTTATAATCGACAGTTGAGTTTGATTCCTGGCCATGGCTAAAATCGGTGGGAATTGATATCTGAAACAGTCTTCGGCTCGTTTAACCAAACCACAATGACTAGCGTGGTTAATTATGGTCAAACCCCAATAGTTGATATGGTGTCGGGAGGCCTTCATTCGGAAATGGAATGATAAAGGGCTGAAATGTATTATTTGTCAATTTAGACTAATTTGTAAATGTTACTGCAGTTTAAACATTGCACAATTTTGCAATGAGAAAGTCATTTTTAAAAGTTTCTTTAGAGTTGCTGTCGCGGTGTGTTTTTATTGAAGCCTCGGGGATTTCTAGCTTCCGTCATTTAACTTTTTTCATTCTGGTTGTTGTAACTTAGAAACAGAATCCCTGTGTTTACTGCTCGTGTAAAGTACTTTCAGATTTTGTTGGCAATACTCATTTTGCTTTATTGAGGCCAGCAGTTTGCATTTCTGTAACTTGCTTCTGAGCATCTTCAATGTAGAATGTTTTAATGATTAAAACAAATCAACGGCATTGAGTTATATTACTTGCCTACACTGTATTTAGTTTTAGGCCTATCGAAGCTATTCAGGATGCTGTCTTGTCACGAGTAGGCAAGAGACGAATGTTAAATTGCACCGTTATTTTGCATAATTGCAGCGTATAATCAAGAGTCCTGATTTATAGTAGTAGGTTTTACCCTTTTAAACTGGTACAAAACTGACACCTTTATTCAAGGCATCATGTTTGCAATAACCACAACACAAGTAGTCAAAAAAGCAAACAAAAAGAAGCAACTCTGATAATGATAATAATATGCACTGTTATCAGAGTTGCTTCTTTTGTTTGCTTTTTTGACTACTTGTGTTGTGGTTATTGCAAACATGATGCCTTGAATAAAGGTGTCAGTTTTGTACCAGTTTAAAAGGGTTAAAAACTACTACTATATTTTGCCACTGGTAAAAGAGATCTCAAAGAGTACTGATTGTTGAGGTTTTCACATGTGAGTGGCCTCAGTCATCAGCTACTGGACGTGTGGTTTTACATAATAGCCTGAATACTTCAGTACTATGCCTGAGGTGATATTATCAAAATTGTATGTCATCTTTTCAACTGATGCGATTCTGTTCATACTAAACATATGACGGGGTCAGTGTCCCGACATTTGTGTTGCCCGACTGCATTGCTCAGATCGCGAGACCACTTAACAGGGGCAACCCCGTGAAGGGTGTCGTCTTGCCCCCGCATAGAGTATACTGCTGCAAATTGCACCTTTCCATACGAAAGAAGAAGACCTGATGCTGCTTGTGTTGCCAATGTTGATGGATTGCGCACTCACCCGTAGCAGCAACAAGTAATCAATTCATTTCTCGAAACTGATTCTCCATACCATTCGTGCAGCAAAATAATTTAAGGGTCATTGGCCATGTCCTCAGAACCCTCATGAAAAATGGTCTTGAGACTGTGTTTGTTTCTGGGATAAACAATTATTAGTCCTCATGAGAGCGGTGGTTCATGATTGCCTGCTGGTCAGTTTTCTCCTTGTATGTGTGCAGAGTGCTTTGATGCAAATAATTGCTGCTGAAGTCGCACAGTTCATTGCGTATATTACTGTCCACGTGGGGATGCTGGGTCGCTAGGTGAGCAGAAAGGACTGGGCTTGTTGAGGCAGACACACAGCCCCCAACAAGAGGCATGGGAGAATGAACATTTGGGTTACAGGGTTTCAGTTTGAACACTTGAAGCTGAGACCCGAAGAGATTTTTGGTGGTTATGTTAAAGTTAGACGGACCACTCACTTCTGACCAGCGATGGGTGCATTGTGATTCATCTGCTCATTGAAATTCAGCCGGCTTAGAACTGGGTTGAGTGACCAAAATGCAGACTTTAGCTATGAAAAGCAAATGATGCAGAGTCAATGTGAAAATAATTCTGTATCCCTGTACTTTGTAAAGTGGTGTGATTGTGGAATATTTCTCCTTGATAAGCCTTGAGTATGCACCAATAAAGTGTATCAACAATGAGTGATATCTTTTTGTACTTAATCACCTTTATTTAACAACAAAATATGATTCTAGATTTGAAGCTTTCGTGACTGCAATGATTCATATTCTTAGGTTTTTTCGGTAAAGTCACGTAGGTAAAACATCAAAATTAATAAAAAATAAAATAAAGATCACGACGTTTCGGAGGCAACACAAGTCTCCGTCATCAGGTGGGACCGTCACAGCCAGATTAGCTGCATCAAGTGAGGCAATGATTCAAGATGTAATCCCTTAAAATCGAGTTGAGGGGGGAGGAGAGGGGGGGGGAGCTCATCAGAATGTGGTAGCCAATGAATGGAACGTATCGGGAGGGAGGGGGGGGCTACCACATTCTGATGAGCTCCCCCCCCTCTCCTCCCCCCTCAACTCGCTTTTAAGGGATTACATCTTGAATCATTGCCTCACTTGATGCAGCTAATCTGGCTGTGACGGTCCCACCTGATGACGGAGACTTGTGTTGCCTCCGAAACGTCGTGATCTTTATTTTATTTTATTTTTATTAATTTTGATGTTTTACCTACGTGGCTTTACCGAAAAAACGTAAGACTATAATCAAAATATGAAACTGACATTACAGTGTTTTTTTATTGTAAGGTATACATTATTTTGGAATGGGCTTACATTAATGAATGCAGCATGATTCAAATACTGTATTATACTATTGTTGCTTCCGAAACGTCGTGACTTAATTTAGTTCTATTTTTTTATTTTCACCTACGTGACTGTACCGAAAGAACCAAAGAGTATGGATCCTTGCAGTCACGAAAACTTCAAATCTAGAATGAAATACTCTTACTTTTGGTCCTTTATACAAAACTAGTTTTATTGAGATCTACATTGTATGCCATTAATGTGGTCTGGTTTTTCGTTGAAGATGTATTGCATATATAAATGCAGTTTTGCATTTCATAATTACGACACTAATAAAGATCCACTTATGTAAAAATCCAATCCTTAAAACACTTCACATGTAACACAACAATGATATTTGCCTACTCAATCCGGGCAGGCAGCGATGAAATCGGATCACGTAGGCGCTGGATGAATTGTCACATGGCGAGACCGAGAGGGGTGACGACCGAGTGTGTGATGGCCTTCATCCAGCAATGGTTAGATCATGGCTAATGAGTTAAAACGTTTATTTTTTGTATTTCCCAAACATTTCGTAGATGTAAGCTTTTTCGAGATTAACGAATGAACACATGGCAGCCAATGAATTAGAATGTCCACGAGGGCGCCCACCTTGGAGATGGAGCGATGAAATCCGTTTATGTGCAGATCCGAGGTGGATTATAACAGCGGCGTGTGCGCAAAGTGCCCACCTGCAGTTGCTGCTGTTGTCCAGCAGTCGGCGCTATGTCACTACACATGCACGGCCGAGAGAATTGAGAGGGACGGGGGTGGAGGGCTGACGGCTGTCTGCTGCCGCAACCAATGGAGAGGGGAGGGCGGGAGGTGGGGGATGGATCGGCCACTGAACGGCACGGAGAGTTCGTCTGTCCTAGCTTGCGAACAGTGAAGTTGTTTTCTTTTACTCCCAAAATACTGCGGCACACCTGATGCTTTACCACGTGAGAGCGGTGGTTCTCAACCGGTGCTACGCGTACCCCTGGGGGTACGTGAGGTGCTTTATAAATCTGTGAAATTGTAATTATACTTGAGCCATTGGCGAATAATCACGTATGAATCTGCCAATATAAAATAACCACGATCGAATTTAAATCCACTTGATAACCTGGAACGAAATAAAATACCTTCCTAAACGAATTTATCTTACACAATGTGGTTTCCAAGAGTAACGAGCTAGCGTGAACAAATTACGTCTTGCATGCTGGAGCGTGGGTTGATTAATTTTTATTCGCTCGCAGTTATGCCCTGTGCTAAGCTCGTTAGGATACCTCACTAAAATGGACAATAGGTGAAAATAATGATGCTCATTCACAGCATTCACGCATTTATTTCTCAGAGCTATATTGGGTCAGGCAAGGGTGTTCTCGGTTGAAACAAAAATTCTATAATGTGGGGGGGGGGGGGGTGAGTTTACAGGTCGCCAAAAAAAAATCGATCCACTGCTGGATGAGAATTAACGTGGCACTGGTTAGACAAGGCATGGGGCAGCAGCAGGCAGCACGCACATGGCATGGGCTCCACCGCACGCTGAGGTCGTCGCAGTCTCTGTGGCGCAATCGGTTAGCGCGTTCGGCTGTTAACCGAAAGGTTGGTGGTTCAAGCCCACCCAGGGACGGGGATGTTATTTTTTTTGTAAACTTTTTTTTTGTCACGGCATTTTACGAACTAGTGGTGAGACAAGCGTTATCGGTTCACTCGTTTAAAATGTAGTTTTTTTTTAAAAACGTATTCTGCGGATTATAAGACGCTTCGGAAAGTAAGGGGCCGTCCATAAATGACGTCACGGATCTGGGGGGGTCAGACATTTGTGACGATGTGTGACGAGGGGGGGGGGGGGTGAGAAATGTGACGTCACATCAAAATGCGCAACTTTAAATAAACATAGACAACGCGTTCTACTTAATTAAATATACTTTTATTAATTTTTTTCTCCTACAACATCAGAGTGCAGCGCCACATTAAATACGCACTACAATGACAATAGTTTAAAGCGATTTGAAGCATGTTTTATTTTGGGGGGGGGGGCAGAGCTTTGTGACGTCATATTTGAGGGGGGGGGGGTCTGACTTTTTGTGACGCCGCGTGACGAGGGAGGGGGGGTCAAAAATCGTTCAAAATCGCGTGACGTCATTTATGGACGACCCCTAAGACGTCCCCCTCCCGACTTGTGCTGGGGGGGGGTCTTATAATTATCGACTGCTCGATCAAGGCCGGGGTTGTCTGACCATAACTTCACCACGCTGGTACATTGGGGGTGGGGGGGGGGGGTCAGTGAACCTCGGTGGCACAACATGATTTGTCTCAAGATCTGGTACCTAGGGCATTGTGTTGTAACTTCATTAGGGGTTCAGCAAAGGTCAACCCACTGCTGCCGGACGAATTCCTCCGCCTCCCCAAGGTGCGCCCATCTGTCGCGATCGTGCGATGGGATGACCTGCCCAAGAGCCACCTTGCACGCGAGACGTTCATGTTTCATCGCTCCATCTTCATTCCCTCCTCTCTCGGACCACGTTGCCACTCCCTGGGGCTCTTCCACTCCATCGCGAGGCGTTTCAAACCATCGGGGCCCCTTCGAGCGACGAGTTCTGTCCACGCCAGCTAATATTTCACTTGCGCCGTATGTCCTGCCCGAGTTCTCTTTAAGCCACGATGCGCACGTGTGTGTGTGCGCCTGTCTCCCGGTGGTATTTGGTGCAAGCGTAACAACCTCGAATTAATTCTATATTTGAAGCTTACGTGACTGCAAGGATTCATACTCTTAGGTTTTTTCGGTAAAGTCACGTAGGTAAAAAAAATTAAAAATAATAGAAATAATAATAGAAATAAAATTATAATTCACGACGTTTCGGAGACAACACAAGTCTCCGTCATCAGGGTGGGACCGTCACAGCTAATTTACCTGTCTCAAGTGAGGCAAAATTCCAAGAGTCAAGCTCTTAAATACAAGTTTAAGGGGGGAGGGAAGGGGTTATCTGAATGTGGAAGCCAATGAGTGGAACGTGTTGGTTATTTTATTTCTATAATTTTTTTTATTTTTTACCTACGTGACTTTACCGAAAAAACCTAAGAGTATGAACCTCGAATTAATGTTCACTCCACGTGTCTTTGAGCACCAAGGCCAAGCTTACAAGGCAGCTTGAACGGCATGGATGAGCACAGCCGAAATAGCTCAGTTGGGAGAGCGTTAGACTGAAGATCTAAAGGTCCCTGGTTCAATCCCGGGTTTCGGCAAAGGTGTTATTTTTTTAATTGCTCTATACGGATTTGCTCAGAATACAAACAAACACCGTCGAGTTTCGACAGTTAACGCCGCTTAAACGAAGCGTGTGTCTCACAGTGATGCTTGGTTCACTTAATTGGGCACCTTTTCGCGTACCATTGTCACCAACAACAATTCGACAATGTCGACGTGAAACCAGGTCCACGGTGCTGCGTGCGGGGAGCCCAGTAGGAGGCGATCTGGAGCAGCTTGAATCATGGGAGCTGATGATGAGACGTGCTTTGGCATTTGTGTCTACGCCAGTAGTACAAATTGCACGTCTGGGATTAACTTCGTCGAATCTTTATGGATGGGTGGCCGACTCGGTCCACTACATAAAGTATAACTCTCACAATGGGCTGTGACTACGAGTCATATGCCTACAGCGACCGTGAGCATTCTTTAGTGAGATAATTAAAGCCCCTTCTTCATATCGTTGATAGATGAGCGACCACCAATGCATTAAACCGTTGCTACGGGACTATGTTGTTAGCAGAGAAGCAGTGCAGAAACATTATTTTATTATGTTTTATTTTTATTATTTTATTACTTCCCCTTCTACGTGACTTTACCGAAAGAACCAAGAAGATGAATCCCTGCAGTCACGAAAGCTTTAAATCGAAATTCACTGCTCTGTCGCCTATGTTCTGTTCCTCGCTTTCACCAACCATTGCTCACCTGCAGCGTGATGAGGTATGGATAAATAACCACATTGGCCGGCACAGAGTAGGATGCCTTTATCCCGTAGTGGATTTACAAACAGAATGTCTGCCAATGTACGGTTACATATTGTGAAAAAGCATGTGTTGTAACTCAGAACTGGGTGGATTGCTTCATCACGATTTCCTGAGATATGGCGATGCCTTGGGAAGGCTGTGGATAAATCATAGCAAACCATTAGGATAAGAATATAAAAATTAAACAACTAAATTTTATAAAATAATTTATTTTATTTTGTTTTCACCTACGTGACTTTACTGAAAAACCCAAAGAGTATGGATCCTTGCGGTCACGAAAACTTAAAATCTAGAATATATATGAGATACACTTGTGAAATGTATTGCAGTAGTTGGATTATTGTACAGCTCCT